CACCTTCCATTTTACCAGTCCTAAGCCTACTTCGCAATACATATCTATCGTAAAAAACTGAAAAATCGGGAATATCTTCAAAACCGTTGAAGATAGACACCATGATAACTGTATAAAACTAAAAGGAAATTAAATTTTACATCCAGTTATGCAAAAATTGGTATATTGTTCCATTTAAAAAAAATAAGTTATCCATGATTAAAAAGTTCGAAAATTACAGATCCCTACTTAAGAACTCCGTAATATAAATGCATAATTTTCTGTTCGCAAACGTGTGCTCTTTTATTGTTAATCCAAAACAGAAAACCAAATCTTTCTAGCTTTCACAGTTTCGGCAATATTGCCAAATTTATAAGATGCTGCAAATGTCATTTTTTTCGAAAATCGTCATATAATTCGAAAACGATACCAGTTAGACCTAAGGTATCCTTAACAAAGTACCAATGAAATTTCACGAGGAATCCAAAAATGCAATAATATACAGGATGTTCAATTTAAAATAACAAAGTTGATATCCATTTCCGGTAGAAGCGGAAGTCCGCCATTACTGAAACTAATTTTAAAATATGTACAATATGATTCGATTCAACTTTTATTTGAAACATTTTTTGAAAAACTCAATCATAATTCGGCTATGAACCGAGGCAACTTAGGTGGGACACCTGTATATATAATCATAAGAATACATCGAGTATGGTGTAAATACTTTGAAGAGGCTCAACCAGTTTTGGAATATAAGTGGAGAATATCTCACTATACTGTGACTACACTAAATTCATGAAGATACTTACCCTTCGTGTGTACCCAACCAGTTAAGTGTTAAGACTTTGAAGCCCCAAAGCTTGTGACACTGGTACTAACTTCACAACTGTCAAAAGCACCGCTCATTATCCCAACCGAATTTATTAACAACGTTGTCATCTCAACATAATGCGTTTTGGATCAATTTAGAACTAAACCAACCCTTATTGAGCAATTATATCTATTTTCTATCTTTCAACATAACCATTCGTTACTGTGTAATAGATACTTATTTATGTTTATTTATAATTATTTTTTATTGACTTACCATTATTTAATTTTGATTTTCCACTGCATTTGCAAGGAGTGTTCGAATTATCAACTGCACATGTTTGTACGCATTCCTCGCAATCTGAAACAAAAAGATATTGGATTAACTTCTGGCGTAATTCTCCAAGTGGGCGATTAATTTGACTTGTTAGAGATAATTGGACCGTGCAATCCGGGTGTAAGATTAATCTAGGCCTACCGGTTGCTGCTTGCCTGCAACTCGAGGTTTTTCCTCCTCTCTCCAAACCGGGAGAACTAATTAAGATTCTCGATGAGCAATTCCCAGCGGAACGGGGCGCCAAAGTATTTCAATTAAACACTTATTTATTTCGGAACTCCGAATGCGATTTCTATTTGTTCCACTTACTGCCTAATTTCCTAAGTTTCCACGGCTCGAGCAAGTTGCCGGCGTGGTGGCGTATAACAAAGCGTTAATCGTCATGATATATGACGGGTTGGATGGAAAACAATTAGGTGTTTTTGGTGGATTGTTTTGCGCTCCGTCTAGGACGGTATTTCTTAAGCTGTTAGCGCCGCGTTCCTTACTTCAACTTTAAGGCATTAGTATGCAACGGAAGTTAGCGAAACCGTTAGTAATCAGAGCGAAATTCGTTTGAAAAGTTATAATGTTAAATTGAACAAAGGAGGTTGTCAATTTTCATTTGAATTCGAATCGTCTTTATTTCTATTGTTTAAAACAAAGGATCAGAGCAAAAAAACGTTCCGTAAATAACGCAAAACTCTTTGTTTTATGGATTCACTTCACAAAGCAATATCATTAGGAGATTTCGAGAAACGATGCGAACAAAAAGTCCTTTTACATCAAACGAAGGGAGTAATCCTCCGGACAGCCTTTTTGCATACCAACAATGGGACCGGTTTAAAACGGAAACTGATTTATTTTAGGTGGTGGTTACGCGGCGGTTTCGTTACTCTTTCACCTTCCACCGCCAACTTATGGCATCTAAATACCAAAGTTTGGATGAAACTTCGTGACCATGCGGGATAAGCCGGTTAATGCGGTACGGTGTAGTTTCACTGCAAAGATACATAATTTATAATGTGTTAAAAAGTTCCCCTCGTCCTGGCGGATTCTCTACTGCAGCCTACAGAGTCGAGTGGCAGTAAATTTTTGATACACTTCAACCTCTACGCTACCAGTAGAGAAAACTTGGTGATGATAAGGGCTTTTGCTCCCTAACGTGCTGTTTACTTCTTCTTTATGGAATAAGCTCTGTATTGAAGACAAATTTTGACATTGTTTTAATCAACAAATATTAAGATTACAAAATTGTAATTATTCGTTCACACTAATTTATATTGTACCAATTTTATCGGTTAACTTTGAACACGTTATTTAAATGATGGCTTTTATACACGTTTAATGCGATAAAAGCAAGGGTTTATTGCGATACACCCGCATTTTTAGTCGATTGTAATTTAGATTAAATTTCATGGAAAAAACGTTATTACCTGTTAAACGTTTATACATTGAACAATTTCCATTCTATTTGGTCGCGGTGTCGGCATGTGCATAATCATGAGAATCACTTTTTTTTCAATGTATTTCCATGCTGCTTTTTCCAACGCTGCATTAATTAACGGCGATTTTAATAGCACTTTTAAGCTTTTCGAGTAAAAAGTTCATTAATTAAATCCGTTCCTTTTCGTTCTTACAGAAAGGTGTAATTATATTAGTAGCGAAATAATTTCTGATTTATTATAGACGACGGGTAACAAATGTAATGCAGACTAATTGGAGAGGGATTATTTTAAAGTAAATATTGACGTTAACAATTCTCGAGTGTCAGGTATAAAGGGCTTAAGTCACAAAATGGCACTTTTCAATATAGTAACAGAGTTAAGTCAGTTTGTTTTTCCCTTTCGATTGGTATTGTGGGCTTAAGTCTAACACCAACTGCTGCTACTATTTTAAACCGGTCTATAGGCTATAAGTCAGAACGCGTCTTATCTTGTTCGGTATTATANATAAAACTGTTTAAGGTTGAGAATTATCAACCTTAAATTGATGGGTTGTGATTACTAACCTGGATGTCCCATCCATAATCTTTAAAATTAGTATAAATCCGTTATTCAAAATTATAACTGCTAAAAAGTTACACCTTCAATAGTTATCCTTTTACAATGTAAATGAAATTTCAAATGAAATTCGGTAAAATTGTTTTGACCCTCTAGACCGGAATCTTTCTTTAAATAATTTTTTTTATTAATTAATGTAATTTTTAGAATTCCGATTATAAACGGCGTTCTACATAATTTTGATTGGCCTTCAATGACTACATTAAAATTAAACGAGGCTCAATACCGCGCCTACAAAAATGCTTTATCAAGAAAATTTTCCATAATTCAAGGTCCACCGGGTACCGGTAAAACCCATCTTGGATTGGTCGTAGGAAAAGCGCTTTTAAACAACCACGCGATTTGGCATAAAAAAATGCACCCCATGTTGGTTATTTGTTACACAAATCATGCTTTGGACCAATTCTTAGAAGGGCTACTCACAGCAACACAACAAATCGTCCGGATCGGTGGGCAATCGAAAAATGAAAACCTCAATCAGTACAATTTACGACAAATAAGACATAAATCTCACAATCGTTTAATTCACGAACACCAATTCAAGTTTAGAGACGCCGCTAATTCATTAAAAAGATTCTACGATATATTAAACGCTACCAGGGAATTTAAAGGTATCGTTAATGTGACTCCGTTATTGGATAAGTTACCTGAAACTTGGCCCGTTGCACAATTAAAGAACTTAACCCAACAAGAATTTAAAAAATGGTTATTAGGCGGAAACGTCCAAAAGAGACACGAATCCTTAAACATCGATGACTTCTTTGCTGCACAAAACGCCGTGCAAAATGAATATTCCGATAGTGAAGAAGATGATGAAGAAATGCTTCAACAACTTATAGCAGAAGAAGATGACGTTCATAATATAGATGATGATGATTTTAATTTTGATTGCACAGGAGCTCCCGTTTATATCACAACATTAAACGGTTACGAAACGTTTTTAGATGATTTAAAAGAAACCGCTGTTAAATTAAAACAAAAAGGTGATAAATTCGATCCAAGGGAATGGTTTGAATTAGAAAAAGAATATGTGAACACAAATGCTGAATATGAATATTTAAAAAAAGCATTAGAAGAGATTAAAGATAGGAAACCCCAACAGCATATCCCACCGGATTTATTGCAACAACTTAGAAACCCTGATAACATTGATCCAGCTGATAGATGGATATTATATATTCATTGGGTGAAAATGTACGAAAAACAAGTTATAAAGCAAATGAAAGATGCCGAAGATACTTATCAAAAAGCCTATAGAGAATTTGAAGCTGTTAAAGAGATGGTGGATGCTGAAATGTTGCGTTCAAAAATGGTAATTGGAATGACAACAACTTCCGCTGCGCGATTACAATCAACTTTAAAAGCGTTAAGATCTCGCATTGTGATTGTAGAGGAAGCGGCTGAAATTATGGAAGCTCATATCATTACGTCGTTAACGAGACATTGTGAACATCTTATTTTAATTGGGGATCATCAACAATTACGGTAAAACAAAATTAACCTTTATTAAATTATAACATGAGCGGGCGCGTGTCATAAATTTTATGACATCAGGTACATCTCTCTAAAAATTTAAGACTTCTCAGAATAGACAGGCTCAAACTATTGAAAATTGTTTGGAGTCTGTCTATTTTTATCACAGAACACTGATGACAACTATCACAAGATTATACAGGGTGTTTCTGTAAGTTTTGGCGTAAATTTAATCACAAATACTAAAGTCTTAAGGCTTAAAGTACTTAAGTCTAACTAGTTTCGGCCGTTGGCCATCTTCAGAGACTCTACAAATACATTAACATCTCTCATCTTATCCATTTTACAAACAAGTATCATAATGTTTCTTTTTTTTGTTAAAAAAGATCACATATCAAAGTCGAAATCAGATTATTAGTTACTAATTGACAAAATTTAAGTTTAAAAAGTTGTAAAATGAAATTAAGGACGAAGTGTTACAAGTTTACAGGTTAAAATTTAAGAATGCTCCTTTTTAACAATAGAAATGTTATGAAACTTTAAAAATTCATGAATCATCAGTTATAAAACGTCTATTATACGATAACTAACTTCAGGTTTAAAACATCAACCTCAATTTTGACATATTTGTAATCTTCATTAAAAATCCTTTAAAATAAGTCCAAACATGACACTTTTAATTCCAATATTACTCGAGATATAAGCAAGTTCCGGTTTGAAATGTCAATGTCATTTTGACATATTCTTAATTTTTTTTTTAAATGACTTAATATTTGTCACAAAAACAAAAATAATAAAAATTAAGGTTGGTATTAATATTTAAAAATTAAATTGCTATCTTCACTGATACTAACTTCGGGTTTAATGTTTTCTATTCCAACTTTTTTGTTTTTTGAGAAGTGCGTCTTGTTTGGACTCATTTTAAAGTTTTTTTAATAAAGCATACATCATGAAAAAACACCAGGAAGTTGTCTATTTGTCTATTACTTGATAATTAACTTCAGGTTTAAATTGTCAACCTCAATTTTGACATACTTGTAATCTTCATTAAAAATCCTTTAAAATGAGTCCAAACATTAATACCAATATTACTTGAGATATAAGCAACTTCCGGTTTGAAATGTCAATGGCATTTTGACATATTCTTAATTTTTTTTAAAATGTCTTAATATCTTGTTTGGACTCATTTTAAAGGTTTTTTTAATAAAGAATACATCATGGAAGAACAGCATGAAGTTGTCAATTTGTCTATTATTTGATAATTAACTTCAGGTTTAAAATGTCAACCTCAATTTTGACATATTTGTAATCTTCATTAAAAATCCTTTAAAATGAGTACAAACACGACATATTTATCTTCAATATTAATGAAGTTATGGTCAACTTCCGGTTAAGAATGTCAACGTCAATTTTGACATATTTGTAATCGTCGTGAAAAATCCTTTAAAATGAGTCCAAACATGATACGTTTAATTCCAATATTACTCGAGATATAAGCAACTTCCGGTTTGAAATGTCAATGTCATTTTGACATATTCTTAATTTTTTTTTAAATGTCTTAATATTTGTCACAAAAATAATAAAAATTAAGGTTGGTATTAATATTTAAAAATTAAATTGCTATCTTCACTGATACTAACTTCGGGTTTAATGTTTTCTATTCCAACTTTTTTGTTTTTTCAGAAGTGCGTCTTGTTTGGACTCATTTTAAAGTTTTTTTAATAAAGCATACATCATGAAAAAACACCAGGAAGTTGTCTATTTGTCTATTATTTGATAATTAACTTCAGGTTTAAACTGTCAACCTCAATTTTGACATACTTGTAATCTTCATGAAAAATCCTTTAAAATGAGTCCAAACATGACACGTTTAATTCCAATATTACTTGAGATATAAGCAACTTCCGGTTTGAAATGTCAATGGCATTTAGACATATTCTTAATTTTTTTTAAAATGTCTTAATATCTTGTTTGGACTCATTTTAAAGGGTTTTTTAATAAAGAATACATCATGGAAGAACACCATGAAGTTGTCAATTTGTCTATTATTTGATAACTAACTTCAGGTTTAAAATGTCAACCTCAATTTTGACATATTTGTAATCTTTATTAAAAATCCTTTAAAATGAGTACAAACACGACATATTTATCTTCAATATTAATGAAGTTATGGTCAACTTCCAGTTAAGAGTGGTACTATGCACTCAATTTTGACATATTTGTAATCGTTGTGAAAAATCCTTTAAAATGAGCCCAAACATGACACGTTTAATTCCAATATTGTTCAAGATATAAGCAAGTTCCGGTTTGAAATGTCAATGTCATTTTGACATATTCTTAATTTTTTTTTAAATGTCTAATATTTGTCACAATAACAAAAATATAATAAAAAAAATAAAAAATTAAGGTTGGTATTAATATTTAAAAATTAAATTGCTATCTTCATTGTTGCTAACTTCGGGTTTAATGTTTTTTATTCTAACTTTTTTGTTTTTTGAGATAAGTGCGTCATCTTTGGACTCATTTTAAAGGTTTTTTAATGAAGATGACAAATATGTCAAAATTGACGTTGACGTTTCAAACCGGAAGTGATCGTATCTCCATTAATATTAAAGTTAAATATGTCGAGTTTGGACTCATTTTTAAAGGATTTTTTATGAAGTTGACAAATATGTCAAAATTAAAAGTTGAAAGTTCGAACTTTTGGTTTTTTGAGATAAATGAGTCATGTTTGGACTAAGTCGGTTCTTAGACATATGATGCAAACCAGACTTGAAAACGTATAAAAATATAATAAAAAAAAATAAAAAATTAAGGTTGGTATTAATATTTAAAAATTAAATTGCTATCTTCATTGTTGCTAACTTGTTTAATGTTTTTTTTTGTTGTAACTTTTTTATTTTTTGAGATAAATGCGCCATGTTTGGACTCACTTTAAAGGGTTTTTAATGAAGATGACAAATATGTCAAAATTGACGTTGACGTTTTAAACCGGAAGTAATTGTATCTTCATTAATATTAAAGTTAAATATGTCGAGTTTGGACTCAACCCAAATGATTCTTGGTCTTGTGTGAGTTCTAGTGATAGTGCTAGTATAAAACTAGAACTAATACTAGACCTAGAACTAGACCTAGAACTAGAAACGTTCGGTTCAAAACTTTCTGGTTCTATGTCTAGTGTTAGTTCTAGTTTTAGTTCATTTCAAAACCGNTCCTTTAAAATGAGTACAAACACGACATATTTATCTTCAATATTAATGAAGTTATGGTCAACTTCCCGTTAAGAATGTCAATCTCAATTTTGACATATTTGTAATCGTTGTGAAAAATCCTTTAAAATAAGTCCAAACATGACACGTTTAATTCCAATATTACTCGAGATATAAGCAACTTCCGG